AAGAAAGCAATAAGGATGATGGAAAAATTGATCTTGTTTTTCTTCACTCGTTCGTTCGTTGCAGTTGGGTTTGGGTTCGCCTTCCTCCTAAGTCGGTTGAATTTAATTTGTTGGCGCTGATGGACTATGCATCTGTCCGTAAAATATACCTCGTGGACGACAAGCCGAACAATCTGATGTTGCTCTCTCCGTTGATTCGTTTCCTATAAAGATCAACAAAAAACAAAACGAAAAGTATGAACGAAACTAAACAAATCAATCGAGCAAAATTTATCTAACGGTGTTGATCTTTTCAAAAAAAAAAAAAAAAAAATAGATCAAATATACAGTAGAGCCTGTTTTTGTGCGGTCCTTTTTTATGCAATTTTTTTCGTGCGATTTTTTTTTATGCGGTATATAAATTACAGCGGCGTTGGCACCAGTTTAATGTTTTCTATCAGTGTACATATACATNTTTTGAACGATTTGTTTTGTGCGATTTTATTTTTGTCAAAGTTCTTTCGTGCAATTTTTTTTATGCGGTATATGAATTACAGCGGCGTTGGCACCAGTTTAATGTTTTCTATCAGTGTACATATACATGTATGGACCAACCCTAACTACGTGGACTCCTTGACGATAATGGAACTTCATACAATCATTGGATCAGGGCATAATCGCAAATTTTAAGAAACATTATCTCAAATTAACTTTAAGCTACATTCTGAAAAAACTAGAGAACGATGAATTAGGCCTGACTGAAGTTTGGAAAAAACTCTCAATTTTAAACTGCATAAACTATATTACTGCAGCAATTGGTCAAATAAAACAACACACATTAAATTCGTGCTGGAAAGCGATCTTGCCTGAATGTGTAATTAATCGAAATGTAACCGAAAATGCGTCCACGTTATTATCTGAAATTACTGCACTCGCACATAACATCAGCGGAGAGGGCTTTGATACTTTCGGCGTAAATGATCTTGACGAAATAATTGAGGACGAAACTGTCAATGATAGTGACATTATCAATAATTTGATAGATTATGAAGTCGGACAAGAAGAACCGGAATCTATTACAGCCGATAAAATATATGCATGAATCCGGATTTCTAAAAAATTGGAAACGCATTTTCTTAAAATAGATACTAATTCTTAAAAAAGCTAGAAATTCCAAAAAAAAGCTAAGATCATGCATTTCTTGCTATTGTGACGTGTACAAGCAACTGACCAATCGACTGACGTCACAAAAATTGATCACTGACTTTCTGGTGCCAAAATCAATTGAAATCGTATCTTCAAGCGACGAAAGCGATATGAAACCAATTCGTCACAAGAAAATGAAATGCGCGTTTTGGATTACGAATAACTGTGAATTATTTAATGTATATTTTGAAAATTTCTGCATGTATACAATGAAAAATTAAGTGTTCAAAAAATATTTCCAGGTCTAATTTACTTATTTAATTTGTAGGAAAGCATTTTCTGCTTTATTTCGTAAATAATTGATGTATTATCTAAGTGTGACTTTTTTTATTCGGTCCCTATCCTCCGCACAAAAACAGGCTCTACTGTATATGTATAATATGTAAAAAATATAAATGTTACATCGTTAATCGACATGATTCGTACGACTTTTCTTTTTTTTTTTAGGGCTTATAAACAGTGTTGCGTCAATTATCCGTTAGTCAAAGTACCTTCGTTCACTGCCAATGATCCTACGCATTCGCATTCACCGCGAAGATACCACATCAATGTATCTCGTTATTTTCGGCTTACGCGTACTTCGTATAGAAAGACCGATATTACCGAAACGGCATATCGATATAACCAATACAACATTAAATTCTCTCCAACTAACGAGCCGATCTCTGTACTTACACATTATTATATACATTCATACCTACTCATATCTATATATATATATATATATATATATATATATACATGTAAGGTATGAATTTATATTCTCGATTAATATTCAAACTAAATGTCATATCGTATATACCTTATATGTATTAGAAATAGAAGGAGATATCAAATTTATTCTTATTCTTGAGATAAACATCTATATCGGGTAATACATTTGTTTTTCATTAATTTAATTTAAATAAAAAAAAAAAAATACAAACCTATATAATAATTTGATTTAATCTTTTGTTCGAATACTTATTTTTATTTATATATATTGGAGTGTTCTGATTGGTTTGATAATAAATTTAAAAATATATTGATTTTGATACTATCACATATAACTATGAAAAAAGATAATTATTTGACTTTTATCGAGGATAAGAATAAAATCGGTCATACAAGTTTTAGTATCATAGGTCCCCATAACGCGTGTCGCGTTCCATGTTTCGTTCACTTTAGATATGCGCAAGCGTGAAGAGAATCACGCCCCTTCCTAGCGACGAGAATCCACCCGCAACCCCTTTCCGTATTACCACGGCTCGAAACAGACACACACACACACACACACACACACACACATATATATACAGAGTGAGAGAGAAAGAGAGAGAGAGAGAGAGAGAGAGTGAAAGATCCACCCTCCGTCTGATATCAAGGCAAACCTCGTTCCCATTTAACACTCCAGTCGCGACTAATTACGCTAATTGATTGAAACTCTCTTTTCTCTGTCTCACCTTCTCCTTCTCTAACTCCTATTTCTGTCTCTTTCATTTGAATCAGGCTAATTACTAAATATCAAAGTTACACGCGTACCGATATTCGCTAGGTTTAAGTACCAACCCGCATGGTCCTTTCACGGCTATCGTATCAAACTGTAATTTGGCTATTTCTCGTCTGAACGGATGGTGGGGTAATGTTAGATTATTATTGAAATATACTCTAACTATTATTTCTTCGATATTTCATTTTTCTCGTAATTATATCATCAGTTAGTTAACTATATCATCTATTTTCATATAGAAGATTATTCTAATATATTGGTTAAACAAATGGTTCTTAACCGGTGTTTCGCGAAATTTTATGATAGTTTACTAATATAGACAAATAAATGAGAGTAACTTTATCTCATATTGATATTATTAAAATCTGCAAAAGTCAACAAGCTCAGATATCGCACTAAAATTGACGAAATACTATTTTAAAAAAGAGTTAAAAGTTAAAATTTTTACTAATATAATATTTTTAAATTAATTTTTTCTTTTTTTATTTTCTATTTTTATAATTATCTATTATCTTTATAATATCTATAATTAAATGTTAAATATGTTGTATTATATTGTTATGTATAATGTATAATCTATATATATATATAACTTTCAATATTAATAAAAGTTAAATGTTTACGCACATTTTTTTCTTGATTTTATGATCTTAATTGTCTTAATGATTTTGGTGTTCCGCAAATTTTTCTTCTAATCAAAATTGTTCCGTAACTTCGAGAAAAGTTAAGAACCACTGGGTTAAACAATCAATATTGGTTCTTACCCTTAAGTATATTTAAGTGTCGATAAAATGATGCGCCGTTCCAAGTTTCAGGATTTCTTGTTACTATTGGCTCAGCTTTCACGTCACGCAGTGATGCACTTTCTTCAGCTATTTTCTCCGCTTCTCGTTCCTACAAATAAATTTATACTATTCATATTATATATTATATCTCATCGATTTATCATTTCAATTCTTTTTTTTTTCCTCTCCTATTATGACCATACGATTATATATATATATATATATATATGTGTTTAATGATATTGAAATAACTTCATCACCTGTCTAATTAAATAAGTTTTCTATTATCTTTATGATTAGATGATAGGAATGACCGAAGAAAAGTTTGTTTGCATTAGCGTTAAAGAGATGACTCGATATTTGAAAAGGGCTAAATGACATTGGAGAACTCTGTTATGCAACGATGACCACGATCGAGTTCCCAACACATATCCTGCTGGTTATTCTAACTTGAATAGGGACACGCGTTCAACGGACAGTTGAATTTACCTTGCTCGTTCCTGCTTTGTTTAATGTTTCCGCTGATAGAAATCACCGAATTACTTAAATTAATTCCCTTTTTGCTGCTGGAAAGTACGTATGAGAGAGAGAGAGAGAGAGAAAGAGAGAGAGAGAGAGAGATAGCTTATGTCGATCGATTGTTTTGAATTATTTATAAACACGAGTCACATTGACTCTTCTTTCTTCTCTCTCTCCTTCTCTCTGTTTCTTTTCTTTTCTTTTTTTAAAAGATAAGGGACCTTTGTCTTTACATCAAAATCGATATATAAATGGATTAATATTACTTGATAATAATTAAGAAAGAAAAGTTGTTAGTTAAAAGTCAATCTAAATATAGTATTAAATAAAAATGATGATAATGATGCACCACGAAGGATATTATTTCGATGTAAAAAAAAAAAAAAGAAAAAAGTAAAGAATCAGAATGACTTATTTTACTTCTACGTCATTTACTCTTCATCGTGTGACATATTCGAGAGATAGAGGAATAATTAGAAGACAAAGAAATAAAAAAAAAACAAAAATATGTATAATTTTAACAGGAGAGAGACAATAAGGTTGGTAGGTATACTGAGCTTGGAGAATTCGCACGCGAGAATGCATTTTTAATAAAACTTTGATGCCCTTACTTTTCAACTATGAAACACGATCGTTATATGCTACCCTACCTGTAGGATTTTAAACAATAACAATGTCTATAATAAATTAACGTAAAAGAAAAAAGAAAATTATGATCAATAATTTAAGAAAAAGGAAACGAATTAAAAGAAACGAAAATAAGTAGAAATGAAATGAAATGAAATGAAATTAAATGAAATGAAAAACAAATAGAAAGGATAGATAATGAATCTATAAATCGTAAAAGGAAAGAAACCGATTGAGAAACATCTTAATCGATGAACGAGGTGCTTTACGAACGTTAGAATGTAGATGGTTAGGTTGGTAGGTTTTTGTCAAAGCATCCTAAAGATACGAAATGGTAGATGCACGAGTAGAGATAGTAATACGTTTGAAATGACAGTCGGAACCGATTGTGTAGCGCGTAACATTACTAGCAGACTATAATAAAATATTCATCCTATCGTGCCGTTTACGTTGTCACGTAACACACGAGCGACGCTACGATGATTACATTTACTTTTGCTTGCTTTTTCGAGATATCGTCTAACGCAATCGTTTCGTATATGTATATTCCTGATATTAAGAAAAAAAAAAAAAAAAAAAAAAAAAAAAAAAAAAGAAAAAAAAAACCAAGAAATTATATAATAGGATTTTTCTGCTTCACCCTTCATCATCTCTCTTCCTCCCTTCTAAAAGAATTTTTATTTAATTCATTTCGTTAATCGACTTAAGACACGTGATTTAATAATAATTATCGGTATCTTATTCACGATATAAATTATTTCTTGTTTTTTTTTTTTTTTTAAAGATTCAAGATTATCTACGTTTTGTGTACATTTATTTTAATGAGATATCTCTCTTATCCTTGTTCTCGACGAAAAATATTTATTTTATATTAATCGATTAAGAGATTTGATCTGACAGTTATCGTTCATATAACACCATAATTTTTTGCTTTTTACGCTAATGAAATGAAATCAAATCACATCTCTTTAAAATCGAATAAGATGACCGATCTTCCAAAAGTTCCCTCGTGTATTTATGACGTCCGTGACATACTTCTTCTTTCTTTTTCTCTCTCTCTCTCTCTCTTTCCCTTTCTTTCAAAGTTTTCATTCTCATATGAGTAAACATTAATCATCGTCCAATAGCTAATGGTTCGCAACGAGCAACGTAGCCGATGAAACTTTTATGCTGTTTGGGATTTGAAGTAATTAGGTATGTTTTGTGTATGGAAGAATAAGGGGGAGAGAGAGAAAGAGAGAGAAAGAGAGACGATTCGAAAATAAGGGGGGGTCTGTCTATTGTCAAGTAATTCGACAAAGAACCGAGGTGGTAAAGAAATGAGGGATTTTTATTCGATAATCGTTCTTTCCTTTCCAAATATATCTATGTTTTTTATTTTATTTTCTAATAACGTTTGATCAACACTTTTAAAGCAAATTATATCTTTTGTTATAATTAATCAAATAAGTACATATGTGTATTTATTATTATACTAGTATCGCGGTCTTTCTATTTAGTTCGTACCAAAACTACATACGAGGAGATTTCACCATAACGAATTGATCTATCAAGAGTAACGAATTCATATCGTTACGCTCTTGAAGTATTACATTCTGAAAGGGAGTTAGGAGTATGGTTATTGTAAGGAACATATGTGCTAAAGGATATATTGACTCGAGTTATACCGACCACCTGCTTTTGATAACTACAACAACAAACAAACAAAAAAAGAAAGAAAAGGAAAAGGGGTATACAAAAAATAGATAAATTGTTAATACTATGGTTATCTAAAGTTTGTGAGAGAATATCTCGATTATAATCGAAAACGAAGGGTATCTTTGGATTTTCTGGATTACCCTTGGGTATCGTTTGAGTGACAGATTACATGAGATTACACGTATAAAATAAGAAAGAAATAGAAATAGAAAATAGAGCTACTAAAATTCCTAGCATGTAGGCCTCGTTACGAATCACATTACGCGATCCTTGCAATCCTATAGTTGGAACGTGACGTATAACCTACTCGTGTTTATAGCGTTTACGATAGAAACCAAGAAAGAAACAAGAGAAGAAAGGAAGAAAGATTGTTGAAACAATCGTTATCATTTTTATTCGAAACTCTTATTCCATTTTTTTTTTTTATTATTTATATAATAACAATATCTTTATTTCATTTATATATAAATATCTACGTAAATAAATAAAATAATAAAAAGAAATGAAAATGAAAAATAAATTGAAAGACTTTAAATGAATTTTTCACATTCTTGAATGAATTTTCGCAATTTGTAACTCCGTTGAGCAGGTAAAGTAGAAATCCTTAGCCACTTTCATCATTGAAATCCACCCCTGAAATATCCAACAATTCTCTTTCTCTTCCTCTCTCTTTCTCTCTCTCTTTCTCTTTCTTTCTCCTCCACTGATCCTATCCCGAAAGTACGTAAAACCGAACGAATCCCTGGCTTCAGAATATCGAAACCAGGAGAACCGAAATGCCGACATGGTCGTTTGGGGGCCCCCCTACCTGACGACGCAGTTACTGCTGCTATCGTGTTGTGTTACTGCCGTTTCACCGGCCCATCCTCGCGTTATGGCTCGCTCAATTGTTTCAGCCCCGTTGATCCAATAAAGGATTACGGCGAAACAATTGTAGCGTGCAGAACCACCACCCCCATCTGCCGTTGCTGCTGCTGCTTCTCTCGCAACCCTACCCCTCGCAATCCAACCCCTTCCCCCTTTTCTCCTACACTCCGTTCACCACTCGTTTTCGAACAAACTCGTTCCGTTGCACGATGGATTTTACCTAAACGGCAAAACTTTCCAACAACTGCTCCCTTCCTCCCCCTCCTCCTCTTCCACCTCTTCCCTCTCTTTTCCATTCAACTATTCACTTTTTTTCTTATCGACGTCGAAACGATGGGATTATCGATTTCTTTCCTCCCACCCTCCCCCCCATTTTATTTTTTCCTTTAGTAAATATTTTATTTTCCAACGAGAATGTGATTAAGAAGATCTTTAATGATCGAGATTTATTAATAAAAAAAAAAGGAAGGCTATGAAATCGGATTGGTTTAGGATCGGATCGTTGATTTTCTTGATCGGTAGGCGGACATTGGAGTTCGTTTCGAAGCGAAAGTAGAACAAGTTGGAATCGAGAACGGGGAACTGTTCGATGGGTGTAAAGTTAATACGCAATCGCATTAGTCGCATTGCTTTCGGTCGAACGATCTCGTCGACGAATCCGTGCACCATCGGAATTATGCCCGGGAAATTGATTATACTCTCAATAATTCCAGACTTATATGCTAACGTTATCCGTTATCCGTTATCCGTTATTCGTTATCCGTCCCTATACGATGAATCTAATTCTATTAAAGTACATACTCGTCACTTTGTCATACATTAACTTATGTTAGTCGAGAGTGTCTACATATTTTTGACAATTTTTTCTTTATAGTACAATACTAGAATGCTGCGGCCTACGTGTTATTGTGGTTTTGTTATGAAATGTTGATTTCATAAAATTTGAAAATATTTAGTAAATTATAACAACACACAAAACAATACCACAATTAGAATGGAATATATAAAATAATGAATACATGAAAAAAATAAAAAAAAGTAAGGTTATGTCACATGTAAATATGAAAAAAACGTATGACGTGAATATATCGAAATAATTAAATTGTAATATAGCGCTATCTATTGAAAACTAACAGTACCTAGAAATCTAGATAACCTTTAAATAATAAATCTTTGAATTAGCAATAAAAAATAAAAATATCGAGATAAAAACTATCCTATATCCAAGTTGAAAAAAATGACACAAAATGAAAAAAATTTCATTAAGATCGGTTCGGTAGTTTTGAAGTTCATTGGAAACTATACAATGTGACACTAAATTTTTATGTATAAAGATCTTTATATATAAGTATTTTTTATGTATAAAAATCTTTATATAATAAATTACAATACACATAA